TTTTGAACCATGGTCACTAAGTGAAGGGGTTCTGGGTCCATCCATCCCCCGGCTGGACGGAGAGCGAGGACAGGAGGAGAGCGGCGATCGCACGCACAGGAGGGAATGTTGACCAGGGAGCACCACTGCGGCCGTTTAGAGCAGCAGGAACCGGAGCCCGGGCTGAGCCCAGAAACGCCGGAGCTGAACTGTGGCTCCGCCAGGGTTGCTAGTGGAAGATGGAGGAGCCAGAGGAACCCGCAGACAGTGGGCAGTCGCTGCCCCCGGGTTACATCTACAGTCCCCAGTATGTCAGTTTGTGCGGCTGTGGGTGGGTGGGGGAGGGATCTGGAGAAATTCGGGTAGCCGTCTCATCAGATACCTCCAAGCGTCTCAGGAAGAAGTGTTCCCTTTTCGGTTTTGAGAGCACAATGGTCTCTACCGGCTTTCCAACAGACAGGTGGGGTGGGGGAGGGGGCCTGGCCCGGGGTGGATGAACTTTCTGCTTCGGGGTGAGCGCAGACGTCGTGGGGGGAAAAGCCCTAAGGGGAAAGTGTTTCATCGCCCACGCAAGGCCAGGTGACCGGCCTCTTACCGACTTGATACTTTGTACTGTCTAAAGTGAACTGTAACTGTTAAGTAACAAAACGGAAGAGAACTGAAGCCAAGTTGGTTCCTTTCTTCAGGATGATAAAGTTGACGAAATTTCTGTGAATTAAACAAGGCTATTTTCTACCTTTTTAAAATTTTCGCTCTTTTTTCTTTCCCTGATTTTTTTTTTTTAGGCCAGTATGGTACATTCTCTGATTGAAGCATATGCACTGCATAAGCAAATGAGGTAAGCTGTCTTTACAGAGCCCTGAAAGCTAGGTATTCCTAGCATTGCTATCTTCCTTCACAGTGGAGCTAACTAGGGAGAGAGTGGTGCTATTCTAAATTTTTTTTTAGCATTTTGTGAGCATTTCGTGGCATTTGTAATCTGCCTATAACTCCGTGAAAGCTCTAGAAGAGCTGGGAAAACTTGAAAAAAGTGCATAAAGCAGTTAAGGTCTATTAGACATAGGACAGTATTGCTGAGTGGGGAAGTATCCTAGGAATAGGTGCTTTGTAGAGATTTTTAAAAAGTAATTACTTTTTTACATATTCCCACAAACATTAACATATGAAAAAAATTGCCTCATACTCCATAAGTCCTTAACCATTAACAAACAGTTTTCAACATTTCAAAAAACTGAATTTTAAAGATAACTTTTAAAATATTTGTTATAATTTTGTGACTTTTTAACACCAAAGACAGTTTTAAATATTTTTGAGAAAATATTTACATGTCATCTACTCAAACTGTTGAAAAGCAAACACCCAGCACACAATTCACACATGAATCTTCCCAACTCAGTTCTGCCTACCAAGTATACTGTGGTTTACCACCTGCTAGCAATGATCAGCCTCTTTTCCTTCCTTCAAAGTCTTCCTCAAGGTAATCCTCTGGTTGTGGCTGCTCTTTTGGAATCTTTACTGCTTACAATGCTGGACTGGAAAAGTCCAGGTTATTTTATGGTATGAATTCTTTCATATGGCTTCTCTAATCCTGTCTGCCATGCCAGGCAGAACTGTTCATGGTGCCAGGCAGTCTTTTTAAGAGCTTCTGTTGACTTTCTTGAGATCTACCTTAATTCCATAGTTTTCTGGTCATACTTTCAGATATGACATTCCAGTCAAAGCTCTGGCAATAACAAGTATTCCCAATTTCTGTTGCAAGGCAACAGGTATTATTGAACTTATGCAAATAATTCTTCTTCCACAAAATAAGAATGCAAATATTTTCTTATTTTTTCTTCTTTTTTGGGGGTAGGTTTTTGCTATAGGGCACGTGCGCTCCCCAGAAAGAGAGAGACAGAAAGCGAGAAATCACCCTCTGGGAGGATGGCCACACTGCAATCCCTTCTCCTCCATTCTCCTCTTGGGATCTTGGGCACGCATGCACGCACACCCAGTGTGAGTTTAAGCCACCAGGTCCAGGACTCAAACTGTAGTCGAGTACATGGGAATTCAGCAACATAGCCATTTTGCCCTTAGCATTTTCTTGGTTGTTCTTTGTTCTTTTATTTCTGTCTATGTGTCTTTAATTTTCCTGTCTTTAATGCTCCTTTCAGAATTTCCTGAAGAGCTAGTCTGGTGTTGATGAATTCTTCCAGGTTTTGTTTATCTGAGAATGTTTTCATTTTTTCTTTCCATATGAACAATAATCTTGCTGGGTATAGTATTTTTGGTTGAAATTGTTTTTCATTTAACACTTTGAATATATTTTCCCAGTCTTTCCTTTCTCCCATTGTTTCTGATGAGAGGTCTGATGTTAGCCTGATGGGATAACCTTTATAAGCAACCTGACGTTTCTCTCTTGCCTATTTTAGTATCTTGTCTTTGTCAGTGGATTTGGCCAATCTAGCTATGATGTGTCTTTGAGATCTTCCTGGGATGATTCTATTAGGGGTCCTTTGCATTTTTTGGGTCTGGATATTTTAATGCCTCTGCAGGTTTGGAAAGTTTGTTTGTTTGTTTGTTTTTCCCCAAGATTTCATGGAATAGATAATCAATGCCCTTATTAGTTTCTTCACCTTTTGGGATACTGACTATCTGCATGTTTGGGCACTTAATGTTATCTAGTATTTCTCACATATTCTCATTCTTTTTAGTTATTTTCTCAGTCTTTTTATGATTGTTTTCTAGGTCAGAGGTTTTGTCTTAAACATCCAACATTTGATTGTTTGTATGGTCTAATCTGCTTATAATAATTTCAAGGAAGGTATTGATTTTCCGTATTATAGCCTTCATCTCTAACAGCTCCATTTGATTCTTTTTTATGGTGTGTATTTCTTCTTTCAAATCATGTAAGAACTTCCTAACCTCCTGGAACTTGTCTTTTTTCTTTCGCACCATGTGGAGTTCATACTCTCTCATCTCTTGCATCATGTTTAGTTTTGTCACTATGAATATTCTGAATTCTTTATCAGACATTTCGAAGAGTTCCATTGTACTGTCTGTGGATGATAAAGGGCTGTTCTTTCCCCTTGGGGGAGATTTATTTTTTTCATTTCTCATATTTCTTATACCTCTGTGGTGGTTTCTGGTTATCTGATGGATTACACATTTCTCCCTAATATCTTCCAGTTAATTCTAAGTGTGCAGAGGTGTGCAGGAGGAGGCGTTCCACTGTCTGTCTGCAGTTTTTTTTCACAGATGTTCACCAAGCAACCTGCACTTCTGACTTTGGAACTGGATATTACAAAGGCCTTACAGTTTCTTTTTCTTGGGGGGTGGGGGGTGGGTGGGG